GGGGGGGGCAACTTTTTGTGTGAAGGTTGTCTGAAGCAATGACGCAGTGAGGTTGGCGTTTTGGTAACTGTGGCAACCAACATTCTGTAGTGCACGGACACACGCCACCACGCACGCAGCACACGTAGGCTTTGGCAGGCAGACTGCATGAAAAATGACAAACACAAACATACATCTGCACCGGGAGAGCAGTGACAATATTCACGTTTGTATAAAAGAGGACAGAAAAAAAATATGCCTCTCTCTTCGCTGGTTTTTGTCGAGGTAAATATTGTCCCAGACTCTAGCTTCTTAATGTGTGTGCTCGGCATTGCTTGGGTTATTTAACCAAAGCTGACGTGAGCATTTAAAAAACAAAACAGAAACAAACAAACCAAAAAAAAGAAGAAAAAGAAAAAAAGAGATCCTTGGTGTCATCCACATGCTGAGAAGCTGTAATTCTCTGTAAATGATTCCCTGCCTTGCCACCATGCCCTAGTAAAAGCATCTTTAGAGATTTAGAGGTATTTAGGGTAAATATATCTGTTAGAATGTAAGATTAATGGTGGCAGATTTGTCTCCAGCTATACAGAGAAAACTGGAATCACAGTGTAACACTGATGGTTTCAGGTGTTGCAGCTCTGTAAATCTTAGCACAACAGATAAAAGCATAGAACAAAAAATCTATAAACATTTTTTAGAATTCTAAAATGTTTTTTAAAAAATATCAAGTTAAAGTTGTATTGAGAGATTGTCAGAAGGTGAACAAAAGGCTGCCTGCTACTGCTGTTACCTGTAAACGATCTCATGACCACAGATTCATTTGAAATGTAGCAAAATAAGCAGCAAAATAAGAAATCTCAGAAATCTATTAAACAAACCTAACAGTGCATTCAGCCTCAGTCCTCCTCTGATGTCTTCTGTCTTTGGATCCTAACGAACACCACCCCCTCGGTCTTCATACAGCGTATAAGCGTAGTGCTTCCATTGATCTGCATCCATTCAAAAGCCCACTGTCCAGCCGAGCATACGCAAAGTTACACTAAAATCCTGTGGCTTTTGTCCCAAGAGGACCGCCGGGACATGAATGACCGAGTGCTGCCAGCTGTGTAAAACTCTTCCCAGAAAACTGGAACAAGGGAATTAACGTAGTGACAGCTGGCACAGGATTTAATGGATATTCCTGATTCTAATAATGCCGGGAATATGATGGATCCAAATCTGCTTTTCTGCTCCATCTTTATTATGTTGAGCCTCTGTTTTCCTTTGTCTATTTTGCCGTGGACATTAGATACAATATTTCAGATAGATTGATGCAATAATTTCCACTTTTCAGGTGGAAGTAGCAAAAGAGTGGGTGACTGGCCGTGGTGCTGTGGCATCGAGACATAAGAGGATGCTCTTAGTGAAAGTGATGATGGGATGGTAACATGAGATAAAGTCACGAGGCTTAGACCTCTCTCTCATCAACCTTTTCCTCCCGAACACATACACACAAAACACACATATACACACACATGGATCTTGATATCTGTACACAAAAAGCTGAAGATGACCTTATAACGAAATACCCAGCAATCCCAGAGCTTTCTGTTGTGTCTCACAGAGATGGCTAATCAATCAGTTCCTCTGTTTCTAAAGACACCCACAGTATCTGGAATCAACTTCACAGGCATCGCAAAGACAACTCTCGTTACCACAAATCTAAACTTCCATTTCATCCAAAGAGAAACCATATGAATAATTGAAATGTGCTGCATGGTGAATTGAATTACAGGCTGCAGGAGATAAATCTGGATTCCTGGTGACAAAGGATTGGGTTACATGACTGCACTGCATCAAAGCACCAGTGCAGGAATGGCATTCTCTGGCAGTCATTCATACTAAGACAAAACACCATTCATATCACGTACATGGCTACGGTGAGCTGGAGCGACCACACAGTGCAGAGCTGGATGGATTAGTAATGAATCACCCGGGGAGGTGGACTGTTGCATGTCTCTCTCCGGTAACTCCCACATGTCAAATAGACATGATACAGAAGAAAAAAATCAAGCTTGGAGTAATATTAGGGAGGGAAAACGTAAAGGTAAAGGCAGGATGTCGGAGCCAACCTGTTGTCAGATCTTCCGTTTGCTTAATCTTAGAGTGAGCACGCAACGACAATCTACATTGCACATCTGTCCCTTTTTTTTCAGCCAGGATAGCAAAACAGTCATATATAAAGCGCGGGGGCTTCGCAGAGGAATTGGTATTCACCTCGTGTCGCACTGCCACAGAGGGGGAACGAAGGGAGAGACAAGGGGAGAAGAGGGGGGTCGGGAACACCGTTGCTCTGGGTCTGGTTAAGAGAAGTCCTCTTACCTGGCTGAGACTGGCTTCTTCACATTACCGTGGGCTCCTCTGCTCCCTCTGAGTCCAAGACCAGAAGCCAAACACCAGCAACCACAGCGATCGCTTTCACCGCTCCTCTGTCTGAGAGAAGAGGGAGTGTGTTTGCATGTGAGGAGGAGAGAGGCTGACAGACAGACAGAGAAAGGCAGGGGATGCGTGTGAGGTTTGCAAAGGCAGAGTCTACAAATGTAGGTGTGTGCGAGGGACAGATAGAGATACAGAACTCCGATGGGTTTTTCTTTTGTTTGTATCCTGGAGGAGAGAGCGATCCACAGGCGGCAGCTTCGTCTAGGTATATGCAGCAAGAGGCTGTGCGGTAGCCTTGGCAACAGAGCCAGAATGAGGGAGAACCAGCGAGGGAGCTGAAGGGGGGGGGGGGGGGGGGGAGTCTTTATGTGTGAGTGTGCCTGTGTGTTTATTAATAATTTTGTGGGATCGTAAAATCTAGCATTTCTAAGGTAGACCCTTGAGTTTGAAAGATGATTCTGGTGCCATTATTCATATGTATCAGCTTACAAAACCTGAAGAAAATGACAAAAACAAAAACGAACATATCCTGGTAACACACCACAGACCTTAATTAGTGCTCGGATCCATTAAACCCAGATCAATATATCACAGTTTTGCATTGGGTGACAGTGAACAAGGTCAATGTTGCTGTTAAGGGCCATCTTGCTGCCACAAACATTCACTTACACACCAATCGTATGTAAATCCTCCCGTGTGGATACACTACGCAACATTTTGTACCACATAAGACACATTTGCTGAAGCGAACATTTGGTTTAGAAAGTGACTTGTTGGCCATTGTTGAAACTGGCTTTGGGGAGATTTACATCTTCAGTTTGGCTCAATTTAAGTGCAAGTAATATGGAAGGCTGGGAGAAAATCATAAAATGTTGGGCGACAGTGGCTACATCTCTTCAAAGACTGATAAATACACTTCCAGCCTTATATTTCAGTGTGAGGTTCAATGAATAAATAATGGAATCAGTGTTTTCCAAAGTGACAAAAATAAAATTGTGTGTGTGTGTGTGTGTGAGTGTGTGTGTGCATAGTAGGGAGAGTCAGATCATAACACATCACTGAGCAGTGAACACCCCCGACTGTCGCCTATTCTGCTTCCAAGCTGTATGCTCTGCCACCCACTTCCCTCACTCATCTCAATCATCCCACCCCCCACTCACCACCACCCAGGTCTACCCTTTTCCAGTCTCCATCGTCGTCATCATCCTGCTATCCCCTCTCTCTTCCCCACTGCTTGTTGCTTATTTCATCTTGTCTTTAGTCCTAGTTTCTCCCCCCGTTTCGGCGGGCTGCTCTCCCCGTCCCTCCTTCCTGTCTTGCCATATGGTAGCCGTTCTGTGTCAGCTCTTTGAACTCACCAGCAGAAAAAAAAAGCATCTATACGACTATATGATCAACATGGATGTCGAGCATCGAGCCCTTATATTTCCTCAATTTATTTATCTTTGTACAAATCACAATTAAACAAAGACATTTAAGGATGTGAACACAATAAAGTAAAAATGATATAAAATAAAAATGCTCTGGATATAGTATTTATTATTGACATTGAAAATAAGTAGGGACCCTAACTGATTCAAATAAAAGATTATCAGCTGCAACAGCCGAGCTGCTGTCGGGCAAAACTGGAAATGATAGTTAATCTTACTTATACGATGAGCCATGTTTCATAGGGTCTACCAATTCTAGCAGTTTTTTAACGTTAATCAACTTATTTTTTTAGCAACAGCTTCAAACTTCATTAAACTTCACCAGTTCTTTTTCTGTTATTTTAACTATAATTAATAACTTGCTGGTGAACACATTTCGGGCCACATGAGTCCTTTTTTTCTTCTTTTCCAATCATTCCTCCATCTAAAAAATTGCCTCCATTTATTTTTTTTATGTATCATCCTCATTCCCTTTTTTTAAATTCATGACAATAACATTTAACTAACTAATGTTAGAGGAAAAGAGGCTGCCATTAGTTGGCTTAGAGCTGTCTTGTCTTCTACCAAACTGTGACATGACTTCCTTATTATTTCAAAAGGTGTTACAAAAACTGCATTTTAAAAAGCACTTCCTGGAAACAATGTGTAAATGATATGCGGCGCACCAATCGAGGTGTTAAATATAGTACTGGGGGGGAAAAAATGTATTACATTTGTCAGAGACAATGGAGCAGAATTCCTGTGGTAACAAACGGAGGCATCTAGTGGTCTCAGTGACTCACTGCTGGTATCTTCACAAATGAAAAAGAACCCATGTCTTTCTCATTAATGCATGCCTCTGGAACATTTTGCCAAGTGATATTTTATGATGAGAGTTCCAACAAGTTAATTGGGCTTAAAGGCTTCCTTACTGTTACCAAACTGATGCCAATCTCAAATTTGACTGTGACTCATCATGTAATATCCAGAAGAAGGCGGGCAGCCTCCAGTGTGTCTATCCGGAGCAGTAAAACACAGTCCAGCCCGGACAGGCGGGCTAATCTCACTGAACATTTGCATTGATGGGAAACAGGGTGCGGACCTGACATCTACATATGTGAGAAAACACTTTTTATTATGGGGCTACATTAAACAAAGTGAGATACACGTAGCCGGCGTGGGGCCATGCGCGGCATGAATCAGGCCTCAAAATGAACGAGGAGGATCCCATCGTTGTCTTTGACGAAGCAGTGGCCATGCAAAGTAGGCTATAGTTTTAGGAGCTGACGCCCCAGAACAGCTTCACTCATACCGATCAGCTTCCCCAAAACGCCGTTCAGTGTCAAAACTTTCTACTTGTGCAGGAGGAGCTGTTAAAACATTCACCCCCAACCTGCTATGTGCACGGAAAGAGTAGTCGCATAAATGTTGTGGTCCTGTGGGTTTGCCTGGGGTTAGCTGTTCCCGTTGATATGTAAAATGTTCAGAAACCCTCAGGGATGCAGCGCGAATGCGAAAATAGTTGCAGAAACTTAAGAAATTGTCATACTTCCAACCCCCC